AGAAGAGAAGCAAGAGGAGGAGCAGGGAAGGTATCTTCGGTATGGTTAAGCTCATTAAATGCACATTAAAGCACCTTTTTGAAACTATTTTAGTAGGATGTGATTATAGCACCTTAAAATTCAGTGGCTGTCAAGCATTTAATTGAAAGAAAGCTGAACACAAGATGAAACATCCTCCCGGCTCAGTCGGAGAATAATTAACTTTTTCAGCTTGTTCTTTTTTTTTTCTTTTAAAACTTTAATATTGTCTTATCTTTACCTGTACAAACTCATTATAATGCAGGAATTTCGTCTCTTTTGTAGCACTGAGGATACACAAACGGTCACAACCATCACTACCATCAGGTAGGGAAAAGGGGTTTTTTTTGCGTATTGAGATTGAAAACTGTAGAGATTAGAAGGGCTTAGGTTAAGAGCATGAGAAGATGTATAAGTGGAGGTTACAATCACACTGCTTGGGAGGAGGGCCTCAGATCAGGCAGTGGTGCAGTACTATATAAAGCAGACCACAGCTGGTCAATAAACCCTGACCCTAGTGGAGCTGTGAGCCAGAAAGATCAGTTTCATACACATTTTTAAAAAATGCAGCAGTCTCGCTTACTGGATTGCGTCCAGCTTATTGACTGCTTCAGCCTACTATAAAAGTCTAACACTGTTTTCTTTACTTTCCAGGGAGATACGCAGTCAGCCTGAGCCCTCCATGGATCGGTAAGTTTATGATCTTGTAAAGTCAGACAGCGTAATGCAGAGGGTTATTTTCTCTCTCGTCTGTTGATTTTCTCACTTTTGTAACAACACTGGCTTGCCCTTTTTTTTCTCTTTTTAAATCCTTTCATGCCTCTAGAAATTTGAGCAATGGTGCGCTGTTGCATGAAACTTACATTTACCTGTTCTTCAACGAGTGGAATAAATGGTTATTTTATGAAATGTATCTAAAAACAAATGCACGCCATCAAATATTTAGCACGTGTGGGTTTGTGTTACGCTTTCACCTTCTGGATCTGCTTTTGTCTCTTTGTAACGCAGCCATTTTTAGTAGGCGTAACTGAAAATGGTTAGTAACTGAAAGTTATCCATGAAAGCTACCTGTAACTCCATCATGACACCCGGTTAGACAGATTTCCATTTCAACTCTATTACTGAAGTTGAATGACAAGATCTGCTCTTCCATTGTCTTTCAATTTGCCCTCATTTCCTTCCCTCTAATTATCAGCCTCCAGATGTCAGAATAATGATGTGTATTAGAGATGTCCTTTTGTCAAATCACAGCCCGTTAACCAGCCTGTCATTAACAAGCAGTGGCAGAAGTGATTATCTCCTGAGCTGCATTTGACAGATGTGGGGTCCTTCTCTATAACCCATCACTGTAATGCCATCATTGAGTGAAAGATGAGACTAATATTGATGCACGTTGCATGTCTCCAGTTTTGATACCTATTCCAGGACCATAAGAGAAGAGGAGCAGAGAGTCAAAACCCCAGAACCTGAAACCAAAAAGTGAGTGACTGTACAAACTATAAATTTAATTTGGATTGACAGCATATCAATACATACATATTGATTACACATTACACATGTAAGTCTGGTCAGAATCCTGAATACACTCATGGCGGGTGTAAACGTCAAGATAATTAGGGGCTTTAAATTATTTCTTTGAACTGTTGAAAAGTATACATACGCAGGCTCAGACATATGCACATACACGTCCACTAATATTTGGTTAAATGTTCCTTAGCCAGTTACACTCAGATGCTTTCGGTAGGCATGAACAATCTTCTGGAATAATTCTGGCTGGATATGTGACCGCTCTTCTTGAAAGAATTGGAGTTATTTTAAATTGCTTGGGCTTGCTACCAAGGACCCGGCTTTTAATCCTATTCCACAAATTTTCAATAGGACTGAGGTCGAGGCTTTGGGAAGCTTATTCCACAAGCATAATATTAGCCTGCCTTATCCATTCAAAACCAGTTTTGATGTGTGTTTGGGATCATTGTCCTGTTGGAACAGCCAGTTGTGTCCACATTAAATCCATCTAGCTGTTGGTTGGATGTAAAGGTGAAGAATTTGGAGGTAGTCCTCCTTTATTATTCCAATCACTTTGTGCAGTGTACCAGTACCACTAGCAGCAAACCAGCCCAGAGCATGATGCTACCACCACCATGCTTGACAGCATTCTTAGGTTTGAAAGCCTCGTCTTTGACTCCTCCAAATATACCTCTTATCATTATGGCCAAATAACTCAATCTTTGTCTCGTCTGGCCATAAATCTTTTTCTCCTAAAAGCATTTGATCTGTCCATGAGGACAACCGCAAATTTCACTCAAGTTTGAAAATGTTAATTTTGGAGCAAGAGCAATTTGTGATAGTTTGAGTCTTCTTCTGGATTTTGGCAAAGTGCTGATTGAACTGATGAACCTGGAATCTGCAGTTGTTTAGAAATGGCTTCCAAAGACACTCTCATCTTATGTGAATCTACAATTTTCCTTCTTGGAACAATGGAAAAGTCCAAGAAACTCAGTGAACATCTGAGTATTTGTCAGTCCAATGAGTATTATTAAAACAAATCCTTTTTATGCTGGCAAAGAAAAACTACCAGTCAGTCATGATCACTAATGAGAAGTTAGCAAGCTTTGGCTTTGTCAAGTTAAAAGGCATTGAAGCTTTAGCACTACTTATTAAAATATTTAAGTTGTGTATCCAATTTTCTTAAGCCATTAAAGATGTATGTCATGCAATCATTCCACCCTGAAAAAAAAAAATCCTCATGAAATTCATACCCATGATGAGTATATGCAAACCTCTGACCAAAACTGTGTATATATTTTAGCTATGTGTATTAACCCACCTTTTGCCTCTCCTTTAAGGCCGTTTGTGTTTGTGAAGGAGTATGTCAATGCAACTGAGACATCCTTGCAGAACCCCAGAGACACGCTTAATAGGTGGGGCCAATAAATTATTTACAGTCAACTGCCATATTGATATAAAATACTGTTTTAAAAAACTGCAAGCACTGCCCTCATGATGATTTACTCATTGATCTTGTTTCCAATATTAGGTCAGATTACCTGACTTCAAGCTCCACCAGCTATTCTTACAGCAGCCCATCTCTTTACTCCAGGTAATAAAACAATCTGAGCCCTACTTCTCTCTCAATACTTTAATTGCTTTCACTTCCTGCTCTTTAAATGGCAGTTCAGCTTTTCTCCCCCCCACTAACGTCATTTAAACTGTATCCATGCGTTTCTCAAAACTCCTTCTTAATTACAGTTCTAACCCTTTTAGCTGTGTAAGTTTAACCTGCTGCTACTGTGTCCATTTTCAGTTCTCACAGTTCAAGTACTTCAGCTGGAATCACTGTTTATAAATCTGAACATGTTTCAGGAATAAATCTTACATAGCAACATTTTAACCTATGACAGGAAAATACTGCACATTCACTTTTGAGCCAGACCTAGATGTCTCTCTATCAAAGTTTGAACTATATATGTGTATATATCTATATCTATATCTATCTATCTATCTATGTATATATGTATGTATAT